TCGGATAATTACTGGGTGTAACGCAATCAGAAACGATCCTGGTGTTTTTGAAAGAGTTCGTGAGTCGATGAGAATATTGGATTCTTGCATCCGAGCGGGGGGTGGTCATTTTGAACAGTTCATGTAGATTAAGAAACATTATACCTATGTAATTTTTTTGGTAATAAATTGTTTTTGTCGAAATTCTTTTTCGCCCCGTATCTTCGAAACAAAGCGCCCTATCAAAAATCATCGAAGAACAAAATATCCTTAGAATAGTCCAAGGAATAGCCCCTTAAATTTTTGCCGCATGTTTAATAAATTGCGCAGCCGGTGCATGCGCAATTTAATCGTCAAGATTTTCCCGAGGATTTTCCTTGGCTCAGGTGCCAAGCAATACACTACCGAATGCCAAAAGAAAGAACTAAATATGTTGAAAACTGTAGTAATTAGGCCGCGGACAGGCAGACGGCCAGAGAAAGTGGCTGAAACAGCGTATCAAACCGCTGGAAAAATGCGCTAAAAAGAGAGAGTAATTGTGTGAGAAACCATGAAGAATACCACAGAGTTGTATAAAAGTAAATAGAGAGGCAGTACATAGGACCTTCACGTGGAAAAATAACTCCAACTACAGTGGCCGACCTCTAATGGCGGAGCCATTGGGAAACATGCTAAGTGCGTCAAAGAGGAATCAGCACGATTGTGGCTGCATTCGCTCAATTCAGTTACATAATCACAAAACAGAGCAATAACTTTTCAGATGCCTCAGATTCATTTGTAAATAAACAGACGCTTTGGAGTTGAAGCAATAATTTAAGCATGCCCATTACATTATACCTCGCATTATACTCTTAACCGCCATTTCATTGTTTAGTCATATATGTTTAGTAGGCGACGATATGTGCATAAATAAAGGTTATTTTAAACTCCTAGAAAAAATGCAAGAAAAGATCAACTATATATGAGTGGAAGGAAAACTCTTCGCAAGCAATTGTTGAAACTTTGTTTTCGATACCAGAAGTGTCAGGACAAAAGTAGGTTGGTAATGGAAAGAAGTGACAGTATGGAGTGAGTAAATGCTGACAATCAGATGAAGTATCAGAAGTTTATAAATCCAATAGGGCTGGTCAGAGGTACATCGTGCTGGTAGTCGTTCTGGTTTTGTAGAGGATGCCGCACAGTAAAGCGGGGGATTATGAAGATGATATAAATCATACCAACTTTATGCAGTGGTTAGAGAAGCAGCTTATACCAAATTTACCAGCAAACTCAATTGTGGTTATGGATAACGCACCCTACCGTAGTGTTCAAATAAATAAGCCACCAACCTCGCCACCAACAATTAATAATCGTAAGGAAGTGATACGTTCTTGGCGAAGTTCTTGGTTAGAAGCAAATAACATTCCTCCCACAAATGAATTTATTGACAATGTACAATTTGTTATGTGTTACTTTAGTCAATGTGAGCGGTATTCATTTCAATGTGATTGTTCAAATAACTGCCCATATTTACACAGCAGAAGTGCATCAGAATTGTAAATTGTGTTGAACGTTGTTTACGTTTTGTAGAAATAAAATTAATAATTTTACTGTTTCCCCTTCCCCTCATATCGCGTGGCCTACTTATTTATATTTACTCGTATATTTACTACAGTCAAATTTTGCATGAGAATGTACCTCGGAATATACAGTCTAAATTTCTAGCGCCCTCGGGCACGCCCTGTCAGGGTCTTTCTGAGCGTGGTGCCAATGTACATATCCTCTGCCGATGCTCCATTTTTGAGATATTTGAGTTATTGGCATTTGAAGTTTGTCGACTTTGTGGCTACCCTTATTCGAACTGTGTTTTCGTCATATACACATCTGAAATTCTGTCCCGCACCAAAATAAAATTTCAACTTATTTTATTCTTTCATTGCTTATTTTTATACTTACTGAGTTCATAAATAAATCTTTAAACTCGATCGCACGACAAATAGTATACGATTCCCTTTATACCAGAATCCCAAAAAAATCTCTTCTCGATTCTGTGTAAGCCCCTTACCAGCTTTGTATTGTAGTCTACTGTATTAAAAGTACTTAACGATTGTAATGTTTCTTATTTATTCAAGACACAGTGTTAACAAAATCCTTCACCACACATTGAATTTCTTTTCAATTTTTGTTGCAATTAGAAACCATATTATTTTCACGCCGAGCCTGCTTTAAGGGTCATTTAATTTGAAGCCGGCCCTGTTGTCGATTACTGCGCACACCGAGGCGCACACTCACCAATTTTCTGCAACAACACTGTCTCTCTATTTACTGATATACAACTCTGAGAAGAATACACACATTTGTTCGAGCATTTCTTTCAGTTAAAATATGAGTGAATAACTTGATATGGTATATGGAATATGGTTTGAGCCTCCGATTGCGATTTACATTTCGGACAAATAGAAACGGCTGCTGCATAGGTACCACTTTAGTGACTTAATGGCGGCATCGTTGCGCACAACATTAGTTATATCGTTCTTTTCAATAAATTTTATCGAAACATTCGATATTTTAAAACACCTGATAATTTGCGGCGCACTGATCACCACCAGTAAAAAAAACACATTTTCTTAAAATAAATAATTTTCACCAACCGCATCCGCCAAACTTGTAATGCTATAACCACAAACGAAGAAATATGTTTTAACTGAAACGTCAATGTACATTGTACGTACATTCGCGTTTCATATAAACGTATTATTATATATATATTATATTAGAGAAGACCAGCGACAATTTTGGATTCAGTCGCTACTCAGACGCCTTTTAGTACTCAGTTGGTATACAGAGTGGCCCAACGAGAAGTATACAGAGGGCTTTTAGGGTATTAAATTTAGAAATTTCGAAACTTTGCTTTGCTTTTTAAATTCTATTGATTCGTTTCGGAGATATTCGAATTTGAAACCAAAACAAATGCGATCTAAGTCACCTTGTATTAAAAAAGGTTTAAATTGTGCAAAAAATAACAAATAACTTTAAACCTCGCTTTAAACACACAACATTTATTTCAATAAATGCTCGAATTGCCTTCCGCCTGCTTCCATGCAATAATAAAGATTTGCTTCAAAACGCTGCCGTACATGTTGCAAGATTTCAGGGATAATCGCTCGAAATTGTTGAGTTATACCATAGTGTATTCTATTCTTACACTATGGTTATACGTGCTCGCAACCCCCATAATGTTCCGGGCGGAGTAGCATAAACTTTATTCTTTAAATATCCCCACAAGAAGTAATCTAAATGACTTAAATCAGGGGAAAAAAACCATTTCAAATGTGAATATCTCCGAAACGAATCAAAAGAATTTAAAAAGCAAAGCAGATTAGTAATCACGATTAAATTGGCTTTCAAATAATGTGCCATTTGCCATAGGATTCCATTTAAAATTTTAGGGGTTAAGCTCCCTATGTAGAGGGGTGAAGACTTGGGTTCGTGATTTGTATTCCAAAAGTTGTCCCCCTCGAATACAGAATTGACGTGTTCGAGGATTTTTCGAAATTTCTAAATTTAATACCCTAACAGCTCTCTGTATACTTCTCGTTGGGCCACTCTGTATAATAATTAATTATAATTTATAATTTTTTGAAATTTAAAAATATACTCACGTTTTCGCATAACACCACAAAAAAAAACATTTTATACGAGTAATCCGAGGAGTAATCCATTGGCTGACCAGCAGACCCTGTATGCAATGTGGTGTATAGAGCATCACCCGCTTTTTTCTTGAAGAGGACCATTACGACTTCAAAACAAAATTGGGTGGCCATTCCAACTCGTGGTAGCTCGGTAGGTAAGTTCGATGTCATGGAGTAAAAGCCGATACAACTGAATACTGAATGATCCTCGAGATCTTCACACATACATCATTTTTACCTCGATTTTTACAATATACCTTAAGGGGTTGATTGTATCCCACCAGATATAGCTTGTAAAACAAATTTTTTAAATCGGCATGAGTTTTAGTTTTATTCGAGGTGCCTACAAAATTTCACTTAAATGTTTTAAAAAATTTAAAAAAACTGACTGCGCATGCGCAAAACAAATGTTTTGCATTTGTTTTACTTTATTCGAGGTGCCTAGATAAAAAATGTCATTTAAATATCTTAACAAATAAAAAAATTGGGATTGCGCAAATACAAAAGTTGGAATGCGCGTGCGCAACATTTTTTTTTGAATCTGTGTAGTTGGCTGAGGTTTAAGGAATATTTACTAACAGAAAACCGGACATTCTTAATTATATTCTTTGCGAGGTTAAAGAAACTTTTTGGAGGTTTGGGCAGTTTTTGGGCTGTAACTTTTTGGCCCGTTGGTCTACATAGCCAACGGCGACCTTTATTACATCCTGAAGAACATATGTATCGATTTTCAAAACGATCAAACGTTTCTATACAAAGTTATCGTGCACACGGACAGCCGGACAGACAGATGGACAGATCGTTATAACAACCACTTTCTAAATTGGATATTTAGAGACACAGACCGACAAATACAAAGCACATTTTTTTATAGAAAGAAATGTGGAGAAAAGAAAAGGTCATTTTTAATGGAAAACCTCGTGGAAAACCTTGTGGAAAACATCTATAATTTTTTGCTCAATTTTTTGTATAGCCTAAATTTATGTTGCAGCGATTATTCAGTGAATACTCATATCGAAATGCCCTCCTGATTAAGAAATTCCAGATAAGCAACTTGACGCGTAAAGTTTCCCGCAAGGTTTCCCGACTTTCTCCCACAATTGATTCTTTAAATGTACCATATTCTTTAATAAATTTTTATCTTCCCGTATAAAGTCTTTTATCCTCACTACTTTCATTGATATTTTCGTGTAAGTACCTATAACTCGCGGTATAACTGAAATCCTCGCTGAAATCGAGGCTGAAATCAAACTAAAATGCAAAAAAATCTGTGTTTAGTACCCTCCAGCCTCGCCTCCACCTGTACAACCTGTCCTATATATGGATTAAGTCAGAAAGGAAATGCCTTACCTATCATACTCCTTATTATCTTCATCGCATCGTTCATCCTTCATATCTTTCCAGCTCTTCCCATGTCGACAGGTGGTCACCATAACGATATCCCTTTCATTGTGAAGATGAAAAAGTGCATTCCTAGTTTCCGATCCTATCCCATGAACGTATCGTTTTCCTTTGAAGGCAAGTAAGTAGCTTTTATTTAGTGGAAAATTGTTACTAATAACAAAACCAGGTTCTCCCCCTTTCTCGGGATGCTTCTTATGGAAAAGGGGTATACTAATATCAAATCCAGACCGAATACTATTAATCGAAACACTGGCTTTAGCAAGAATAGCCGTTCCCGTATCGAAATCTAAGCCATTCTCCGCATATGCTGGCCACGTACCCGAATATAGATTAAATATAACATGATTTTGTCCGTTATTCCAATATGGTAACCGTTGTATTCGTATTTGGAGATTTCGTACATAGTCGTTACTTAAACGGTCTCTATCTAAGGTATCTAAATTTAGAACAAACAAGCATGCCTTCGTAGGATCATTCGTATAATATCGCGATTCTTCCAGTACGCTTAATAACTTTTGATAGGAATGACTGGGAACCAAACTGTCATCTGGTGGATAGATGTAGACACGGAAATCCTTGTGACATCGACTAAAATCGAAGCAAGTCTCCATTCGACACTCATTTGTACTTTCACTTATGGGTCTTTCTTTATGCCTAATTGCACTACCTGTTCTAATAGCTTTCAGATCGACGAAATCTGGAAGGAAGTTAATTTCGGTAACACTAATTTCACTTTTCAGTCGATATCCACCAAAGTAACAATAGGCTAAAAAAGCACAAGACACAAACACCAGTAAATATCTTTTCTTAGCCTGCATTTTTAATATTCTAACCTATCCTAAGGTAACATGATATGCTTGAGGCAGGAACATAGTAAAGCAGTCGAGCAAAATTACTCGTAAAGGGATTTATGATAACAAAAGGGTGCTGCATTCTCCTCCAACACAACAAATTCCCAAATTGAGGTACCCTGGACTTCATGTTGAATGATATTTATTCCTACAGTTGAGCATTCAGATGAAAGAGGTGTTTGTTGTGATTGATATGATAAATTTCCTTCATTTTTATTGAGTTTTCCTTCGATACACTCGCTCATCAAAGGCTATTTCATTCATCAATTTCCAAATATTTGCACTTCACTAAATACGGCATTATAAAAAACACGAAAAGACATAAATATCACACGCTACTCCAATCAACACTAAACACTCCCGTCACAGTTGTACTTGCCAACTTGCAGATGTGTTGCACACCGACTCCCTCGGTACTGCGCAAACGCAAGCGCGCTTAAATTTGAATTTGCTTTAATGCGCTATTTAATTGTATTTATAAATACAATGATAAAGCCTTCGGTCATCACTGTGAATTCCAGTTACATTATAGCCCCAACTTGAAAGCAACCGTCATGATCCTTTACAGCATAATATGGAATAAACAACAAGAATTGTAACGTTATTAATGTTATTATTTATTATAATCAAAACCCTTCTACCATCATGGTGTACGGAAAATACATTAACATATCAGATAAGTCACTATAAATCAAGCTATAAACTATGGTGCTCCATTTTTTCCTATCACGCGTTAACTTCATAAGGCGCAGATAGACTAGTAAGTTATACTTGCGACCATCTCGCGGGAGAAACTTGTAATTACACTGTGAGTAATAAGTGTCGTGATATAAACTGTCGGGCACGTTGGGTGAGCCATTGCTGTCGCAAGTTCTCACAAAACTGTTTACACTAGCAGCACTTTTAGCTTCCGAAAATGCTGTCAGTTGATACATCAACCTATACCTAGCAGTTGTTTTCGAGAACTTATCTCACGTTATGGTCCCAATGGTACATCTTTGTGTTGCCGCGGCTGTAGTTTTATGCAATAATGTGAAGCATAAAAGAAAGTGTTGGGTGAGAGAATGAATTCCAAGAAGAGAAAAGTATGGGGCCTGCCATAAATTAATTGATGACCTGAGAATCGGAGAATCATAATCCCGACAATTTAAAAATTTTATTCGCATGTCAGCGATAGACCTTCAGGAACTGTTATTACAAAATTAAAAAGCAGGGTACTCATTTACGTGCCACAATATAATAAAACTCCCACGTTTACTCGCCAAAATATCGAAACGAAATGGATAAGTTGGTGAGAACTTGGCGAGCTGCACTTTTGCCTGTTTAGACTGGCAAGAAAAGTGTCGAAAGAATTCTTCCGCGAGTTCTGTCAAATGGACTCGCAATGCTATTTACACTTAAGAAAGTAATGTCCGACAGAAAATTGCGCGTGTTTTTTTTCTAGTCTAAAGGCACCTTTAGCCTCCTCCCATTCTATGGCTTGACCTTGAAGTATTCTTGCTACATAGGTACATATCCTATGTGGTCGTTATGCTTCCCCTTTTCTTCCTATTTTGAATTCTGGGGTTCCATATGTGTTTCGCAAGCCGACTGTTTTCCATTCGTCCAAGGCGTCTAAATAAGTGTTTTAATTTTTGTCTATCAAAGGTCTCTATCAGAGCATCCACTTCTTTTTTTATCTTCTCACTAGGAATTCCACCAACTCACCTTACCCTTCGCAAGTACTTCATTTCTGTAGCATGTAGGTAGTCTGTTTTTTTGTGATTCGTCCAGCACCCAACTCTCTCTCTACCGTAGGTCAATATTGGTCTGTAAGTAGATTTCATTAACTATTTCTAATTAACTGTTACAGTACCAGGCCTGACGAGAAGGGGGGTAAACGGGGGGATTCCCCCTGGGCCCGGATTTTGAAAAGGGGCCCATTGCATGGTTTTTTGGGAATAAAATTTTTACATCCATAAAGCATACCAATTTCACTAAAATAAAATATTTCATATTATGAGTCCTTGATTAGTAGACTAAAGTAATGTGGAATAGGTAAGTTTTAAGCACAAAAAAGGGGCCCGTGCTTAACAACCCCCCCCGGGCCCCAAGTTTCTCTCTCTGTACAGTACTTACCGAAATAGTTTCTTTCTATCGCCTTTGGCATATTCTAGGAATAACAACAAAATTCATCTTGATAACATGGCATTAACATATACCTACTACACCTACTTACAATAGGTAAGCAGGTAAGTTAAATTATCTTCAATTATAACGTTTGCAGGTTATGTGTATTATTTACCCCTTAAACTTGACAGTTGTACGAAAATTCAAATTTTAGCGCGCTTGCGTTTGCGCAATACCGAGGGAGTCAGTGTGCAACACATCTGCAAGTTGTAAGTACGGCGCCATTCCCTCATTTTGACATAACATTTGTCAACAATTAAATCAATGTTTAATTTCCCTAATGACCAGTTATCATTTGTTGATAACTATTATTAAGAAATGTAGTCACTTAATGAATTACAACAATGGCATTTAACCTCAAATGAATATGGGTATGCGTGCTCCTTATGTAATTTAAAGTTGTAGCAACAATGTTGTTTTCTTAGAACATGGGGTACCTGTGGAAGAGCATAATTCTGTAAAAATGGGAGCTAGTGGCAATCCAAATGCTGCTAAGCTGGCAGCATTACAAGAACGTAAGCAAGTGATCGAGGAAGCTTTGGCTAAACGCAACAAGGAATTACGACAGCTATGCATTCAGGTTTGTCATTTGCTGGGAAAAAATTACCTTGAGCAAAAATGCTATAGGCTTTTAGAGGACTGTAGTAAAAGTAATTTTCTTGTAGCATTTGTGTCATTTGATACTTATTTATGAAATGTACAAGTTACTCATTTCCGTGCCTTTGTATGTTGATTTTCTTTGTCTCAAACAATGCGATAACCTGCCTCTACAATGTCGCAATTTCGCCTTCGCGGTCGCAAAACCGCAGCTTAATCCCTGATTTGTTGTTGTGGAGCTTGTTTTATTCGTATACATATTTTAGGAAGCAGAGCTTACAGGCACTATGCCTACCGAAATACCATTAGACCCAGGCGAGTCACCACCATTGTTTAGACGACGTATTGGAACTGCCTTCCAACTTCCTCAAAATTTGGTTAATAGTCTAACTAGTGAAGATGAATCGTTTTCTTCCTTGGAACTTAACATGCAAGTCCAAGCGAACATGGCAGAAGCGGCATTAAGTTTGGCAAATGAAGCGAATATTAGTAAGGTAATGAAAATTAGCTTGCTGCTGGCAAAGAAACAAAAAGTATTAATGTCTTTTAAATCTAGTATATTCTATAACGATTATAGTTCCACGAACGTTGAAAACTTATTCCTTACAAGTCATAGACATAATTTTTTCCACTACTACAACGAATTGTAAAATATATTGTATAATTCTAACCAGGGTTAGCAGTAGACAATCCACTTGTTAGTAGGCGTGTGTGTGTGCGGTGGGTTGGTATAACAGATCCCTGTGACATATTTGAGTGACATTTGTCTAAATAACCACGGGCGATCCATACACTACGCATGCAAAAGAAATATCAAAGTTATTTGATGAATTCAAACAAGGTTTGCCCGTTGAATTTGTATTTAGTAATTGAAGATGTACAAATACTTGTTACGGTTACAGTACACATTAGGTAAATGTGCGCTACAGGTACTTAAAATTCAAAACTAATTTGTGGGTGCTCAAGCGTAATTAAAATTTTGACAGTTAATCATTTACAAGGTCCTATAATACATGTGCTCATTCCATCACAAGAGTTGGAAATTATTCCACTTCAGTAGCAGAGAGTAGGCGACATTTTGTTGTTACAAATGAAGCAAGTATGACGGGATTCTAAAGTAGTAGTAGAAAAAGAAATGAATGTCAGTTGTAATGTGTTTGACTACGAAATTTCCAAGTAAATAAGTTTTTCCCAGTCGCTCGACACAATTTCTGTAATATGTTTGGGACAGTCTTGCACATTACTCTTTAACACATTTTGTTTAAAGTGTATATGTTACTGGCATACTGCAAAATCGGGCATTTTGCAAAATCCCTAGGCATTTTGCGAAATGACCAATGCAGCAGGCAAAGTGATAAATGGAACTCGAGTTTGCACTTCTCCTGCCTCTCTTTAGGGATTTCGCAAAATGCCTAAACGTTCAGGCAAAGTGAGCATGCTCGAATATTTTCCACAGATTGCGCGTACAGCGGTGCCAAACGTAAAACCGTCGCGTTAGTACCTTCCCCCATTTATATTCTCCACAGTAAATCCAAAACTTCACTCAACAGAAAATGCAGTTTAAACGTGAGCGCAATATTTGGCGAGTACTTAAATAACATCGCAATCGTACGCGTCGTTTACGATCCAATGGCAACGCTGTATCCGCAATCTGTGGGGAAATGACGAAGCCTTCGCACTTTGCCTGCATGTTTAGGCATTTCGCGAAATCCCTAAAGAGAGGCAGGCAAAGTGCGAACTGCAGCTCCGTTTCTCACTTTGACTGTTGCATTCGTCATTTCGCGAAATGCCTAGGCATTTTGCAAAATGCCGGATTTCGCAATTTGCCGGTAACATATATAAAATTTTGTATTCTCATATGGCAATTTCAATGCGCAAGTTAGAAAACAGCTCCATTTATCGAGTGCAATTTGTTATAAAAAGGGATAATCGACTATTTGTATTTGTATTTACTTAAACAAATAAACATGATTATTATTAAAGGTAAGTATATGGAAGAATAGGCAAATATTCAAAAAATTCTTTAATGGCGATCGATTTCGGGCATATTGCCCATCATCAGGCCATGCTAAAAATATGGTTAAAAAAAAAAGAAAATTCACAAACTTATTCGTTTTTCACCATCTTATGACGGTAATGATTTATTATATTCATACAACATGTATTGTAAACCATATTTTCAGCACGGCCAGATGATGGGCAATATACCCGAAATCGATCACCATTAAAGAATTTTTTTAATATTTGCCTATTCCTCCATATACTTATCTTTGATATCACCGGCAAATAATGGACAACTTCATTAACCAGATTATTATTGTTATTGTTATTATATTGTAATTATGCCAATAAGATCATAATAGAAAATTGAAAGTTTTATTCATTACCTACAGACCATGCGGCGACAGCATATGGCTCAATATCAGTACCATAAGAGACAGTACAACGCTTTGGAAGAAAAGTTTGCATTCCATAAAACTAGATCGCAAATGGTTCAGCCCACTCAGTCACCTGTTTTGCAGCATCAGAAGCAAAGAAAGAAGCCAAGACCTCCAGATCCAGGTATTTTTTAACAGATTTTGCACTGAATATCTGAAAATTTTGTTTGTTCGTCGGAGGGTAATCTCACGATAGATTTGACAAGAAGAAATTTTGTTTGTGGTTTGTATGTGTGCGGACTATTTTTTTTATTTTTGAAATCGAGATTGATGTTGATCTATTAGTAGGTATTACCAAATATGTTATCAGTAACGCAAACTTACAGTGAAATTTATTGGTAACACATCAGCCAAATTTGAAGCTAATTCTGGTGTACCGCAAGGCTCTATTTTGGGACCTTTGCTGTTCCTGAGTTTTATAAATGGTCTACCTTCTCAGTTTAGTAACTGTCAATCTTTACTTTTCGCGGACGATCAAATATATTTATGCTCATAACCAGTATTTCTGATTATTTAAATCCATTAACAAAATGGATCAGTGGAGCTGTTTGAATAAATTACCTTTGAACATAAAAAAGTGCCATGTGTTATTGTTCTCGCTCAAGAAGAGTACACTCTTATTTAATTATAAAATTAGCGGGTTAAGTTTCAAACATGTAACTTCCATAAAGGATCTTGGAGTAACTTATGATAATTTAATTAATAATTAATAAAAACATAAATATTACAGTGGCTGGTGCATACAGAACCTTGGGTTTTATTGTGAGGCAAACCAAGAATTTCAAAAGCATAAGACAGTTAAACGACTTTATTTTACATTAGTTAGACCAAATCTTGAAGTATGCTAGCACAGTTTGGCATCCAAACACGTGTAATTTAATAAAAGTAATTGAAAAAGTTCAAAGTAAGTTTTTACGTTGGCGGAGTGCCTTTAACGTTGCAAGTGCTTTAAAGACCAAATTTCTCTATTATAAAAACTTGGCACTTATCCGAACTATAACAGCGTTAGATCGGTTCGTCTAAGAAAAGTTTTTGAAATTCAAAGCTTAGTAAATAGGAGAAATACAATTTTAATGCAGTTGGTTTTTAATATTCTGAGTTATAGAATAAAATATAGTTCTCTTAAAGTTGTTAGAGCGTGTTTGGCTGAAGTCGAGCGATTTACTTGGCCTCCCTATTGCCTACTTACTTAAAAGTAGTAAACATAATTAGAAATACGGTATGAGTGGTATTTTGTACCTCAGCACAATGCAAACGTCATAAATGATTTTTAAAAGGTATATACCTACAGTAGTCAACTTGACTAGTCTCTCTAAACACTCACATTTTATTTTATGGCTTTAGTAACTACAATTAGCTACTTACAATTATTTCAATGCTGTTTAACAACCTTATCACTGCATTTCAAAGCTTCGGGAATGACCTGGTTAAATGCAAAAGTCATTAGAGCAGACGCCGCCATGGCGGAAAATATCTTCCTTTGTGCATATTTAGATTTGTTACAACATTTCGCTTCGAATGAGACTCATCTCATTTAAGTCTTGATACGAAAATCTTCGCTAGCTTAGAAAAACCAAATCTGTCCATAACAAGTTCATGTTAAAATACCGCATGTTTACTGTCAAATATCTCAGAAACGGTACATAGGAACCAATTTTCATCAACTTCTTGTTACTTTTACCTAGGCGCTCTAACTACTTTAACTCGGATGCAAATTAAAATTCCGCGTGTAACTGCCAGAAGTGTACCTTGTTTTTTGTGATCACTTATGTTTACAATAGACCGTTTTTGATAACGTGTAGATGTTAACGAATTATTCAGCTTACTAGATTTAGACTTTACTGTAAAATTTAATATTTTTTCCAAACAATTAATGAAACATTATGTTGTGCCGAGGACTGCCTGGCACTGCGGTGCAGTGTCGATAACGGTGCCCCTCAGATTCCGGGCGACCTCCGAGTGGTGGCTCCTTTCCTTTGGGAAGGGGCTGGCAGCCAAGCCCTGGGCAAGCGGCTCTGCCAAGGTGAGACCGCACTACTCGTGGGAAGGCTAAACAGTGTCCTATCCTTCATTGAGGGGAACGGGCTCTGAACTCAGTTGCGAAAGATAGGGGGTAGGCACAGTGGGCCTCTGGTGTGCCTAAGTGCTACCCGGTCGGGCTCCCCTGCGAATAGAATAGAATTAGGGCTGTGCCCTGTATAATAATGAATAAATAAATAAATAATGACCAAATGACCACCATCCTTCATTAAAATGTAGATACGCAAGACGTGAATTACATATGTTTTTTTTTTGTAGATGATACTATATCAATGAATGCAGCTGTCGAAAACGCTGAACCATTTGGAAAGACAGTATTACGCCACAGCATACGCTCATTACAGCATCCCGTAATGAGTGATAATTCTTTGGAATTTCGCCACAGCTCTGGTCTTCAAAAATTAGCATACAGAAGTTCTGACGGTAGCTTACATTCGGATCTAAATTCACCACTACTTCGTCCCGAAGACGCTATGATATCTGGAATATACCGCCTAAGTTTGAACGGGTACAAAACATATATGGAAAGGAAAGAAATTAATAGCTCACATGTTACATCACATTTTATATCATCACAATCTAATCCTAACCTATACCATCAAACATCACAACCAATACCACATGCCAGCACACATACTCTTCCTTATGTCTCACAACGCAATCCGCAAACTGTGCAAGGCTACCTCATGTATCCGCAATACAGTCCAACACTCCAACAATCGCACGAATATCCCAAATTTGTTGTTACTAACAATAATAACAATAATGGTATCAGACAGTCGAGTAGTCCTGGCTCGACTAGTAGCACCAGTACATATTCCAAATCACAGTACTATCCTCCCCAATTTTATAACAACTGCAGGCAGTATGCTAACGTAGAGCAACAGTGTAGAACATTGAATCCTCATCAGATACAACCGCATCAGCAATATGAACATGATGTGATGAATGTTGGTTTAGGGGGTTACTGGAAGAGAACGGAATCGGGAGAATCGGTTTGGTGTAATTCGACTCCGAATGATACTTGGCAACGAGATAAAAGGTATGTTTTATTTTTTCTGCATCATACCCTGAGGCAATTTAAAATTCTTTTTATTCATGCATTGCGTGAATCGTTTAGCATTGTATTACAGCAAAATGGATTCATATTTGAATTTCGTATAGAAGTATAGGCTAGCCCATAGTATTAGATGTAGAGCTTTTGGAAAATTTTTTAATATAAGAGGTAATTATTTTTAGTTGCATATGATGACCGGTAGGTGGCACAAAAGGATTTCTTCTAAAATTTTACATGAAATCTTTCATTCTGTACCAAAGTACTGTCCATTTTGCATAGCGACAAGTGGTGCACTTGAAATTTAAATGTATTAAAAGTGTACTATTGCACATTAATAATAATAATAATAATAACCCACTCGTATACAACCGAAGCGCAAAAACCTTAACAGCACCACAGGCTCACAAAATACTGCAATATCTCCACCAAAAACCCAAGCAACCTCACAAATACAACCTCAAGAACAAAGAAACACCATAAAAACCAGTAAGGCAACATGCACCACAAAGACAGGTCCAATAAAGTTACACGTCCTAGCAAAGTTAAAAAACACAAAACTCCTTCTTCACAGAAACACACCACGTTATCACAACCCACTCGTATTCAACCCAAACGCAAAGCCAAAGAAACACTTACACAATAAACTCTATATAAAATTACAGGAATTATTATGATTTTTTTGTTTTGTTTTCCTCTTTCCTGATAGCGTTGACTGTGTGGCCATTAATAGCTATGTTGGTAAGTATGAATTACAGACTATCCCTAGATTTCCAATGTGAGTGTGTGAATTTTTATTTTTTTTTTTATTTTTTTTTTTAGAATCCTACATAACTTCACCAGACACAGACACTAATCGCTACTTGATTTTAATCCGTGCGATTAGTTAACCAGGCTAGACCTGAGTTCTCACAAGAAACACCGACCATAATAATAATAATATACAGGAAAAAAATTGCTTGCATTCTTACAAATTACAATGGAAATATTACACATAAAAAACTTAAAATTGAAAACTTAAAAATTCCTCAAAGTTATAGAAACAATTGTTTAAAAGAAGTGTTTTAACTTTTAACTTAAAACGTAGCATTTTTCAAATTTTTCATAGACCAGGGGAGATGGTTGTAGAATTTTACCAGCTATGATTTGTTGTGGTTTACATTTATCGATTCCAAAGTCCATTTGTATGTCAGGTGAAAATGTTTCGGTGATGTGTAGGAGGTGATTAAGTTTTATGCTTGTGGAAAAGTATAATTTAATATGTTATGTAATTGATTAATAGTTTGTAGTGATGTTTGTGTTATTCTTAGGGGTAATGTATTCAGTGTGTGTGATTTCTGTGATAATCCACGGAGAACCTGGGGTGGAAGGGGGCACTGGGGTAGCACTGGGATGGCCTCTACCGACTAAATTTTCACGTCCAATACTGTACTATCACACAAATTTCATTGATGACACGACTCCCGTAACATAGCAACGCATCGCGACAAGAAACGAAGAGTCACTCTAGGCTAGAATGTCAAATGGTCGGTGCGCATAGGTGTTGTTGTAAATAGTGATCATTTTGACGTACAGTAAGTACTTGTTTTGTAAGCTTTTTCAAATAATTTATGATTGTAGCAGATAAAGGATGTCTTGTAAGATGCATGCTGGTGAAATTACGTACTTTTTTTGTTCCATTGCGTGTGGAACTTATTTTTGAACAAAACACTTGCGCTTGAGGTGGAATGGAGTTTTTATTGTGGGACGGAATGGGATATCGGTTTTGCAATACCCCATTCTGCCCCACACATTGAATCAAACCGAAATAGTTTTTTTAATTTTTTTAGATGCCCTGTCCGTACAACAGGAAAACTACTCGGCAACAGTGGTCAGATTAAAGTATGAAGCAAGCTGTGCGAGCAATAATAGATGGCGAAGTGGGCTATAAAAAAGCTGCTATACAGTTCAATCTGCAAATGCAGTGCAAATAGTATAACATTAGTATAACAGTTTGAGAACCATTCAATTTGTCTATCCCGTGCATGGGGTAGAACGGGGTAAATGTACTATTTTACGATAATCATAAAATGTTAACAAAGTCTAATTTTTTTGGAATTTGTGACGTACATGTTTTATAAATAAGATATTTAGTGAACAAATTTTTCATAAAATTAAAAAAAAATATGGTGACCTGCATGTCACTTTTTTAACTTGAAGCATAAGTACCCCATTCCACCCCAGGTTCCCCTATTGCTGGAGTGTGTGTAGAGATGGTGGAATAAGTTTTTCATTAGTGCTGTTTTGTGTTAGTAATCTGTAATATAGTTTTTCGTTATGTTTAAATTGTGTGTTATGGCGCTTTCTGTCTACCCTATAGCGTTTTAAACGGTTTGATTATATTGATAGTTTTTGTGTGAGTGTATCTCTATGTTCGTTATAGTTTGTATTTTGTTCTCGTGTGGTGTGATTGTTTTTAGTTTTGTAGTTATGTGTTGTACTTGACTTATAATTTGTGACGTAAATTCATTTGTGTTAAAAATAGTTTACTATAAAAACAATTGTATGGTAAGGAACCGGCCGATAAGTTTCTTAAACTTGGCTGGACCTTATAATTTTTGTAATTCTGTAAATAAACAACTCAATTATTATTGTCATTGTCTCTTGTTAGAGCTCAGGTCTAGCTTGGTTAACTAATCGCACGGATTAAAATCAAGTAACGATTAGTATCTGTCTGTATGTCGTTCGTCTTGTCATGTTATGGTCAAATGCTACGTAAAGAAAAAAACTAAGTAAGAAACTATTTTCTTTTTTAACCACATGACGTCATTTGACTAATGCTAATGCTAATATTGTATAAACACCACCAATAAATATTATTATGGTCGGTGTTTCTTGTGAGAACTCAGGTCTAGCCTGGTTAACTAATCGCACGGATTAAAATCAATTATTATTATTATTATTCTTATTATTAATGTAGTCGTTTTTTTTTCTGTGTTCTCTGGTTCTAGTGAGATATTAAAAAACTGATCTACCTACTGTATCTGTGCAATATAAATACATAAGAAGTTTCATAAAGCATCTTTTGCTAGTCCACTGACCTTATGGTGATTTTGCGGTAACTGTTCATAAATGTTCATGTTTTTGGAAGAACTGTAACAAACTTTAACTTCAGCAGACCTCTTGCTTGTTTCCTTAAAGGCATACCTGCTTGGTTTGTGACTTGTTAATTGTGCTAAAGAAATACTGGAAGAAAAGATGGCCTCGCAAATTCAGACTTCACTGGACTTGATAACTTTAGAGGATCACCAAACAGTCACTTGCGATGTGAAGGTTTAATTTTATGACGAATTTTGCATATTAAAATATTTGTTAGATTATAATTTGAATGTTTGAGCTATAAATCTAAATGAATATATTATATAGAATTATAACAATTTCACATTGAGTGGAACTTGTAAGGTTTGTTGCTTACAAAACTGTTTTGTGTGTTTATATTTTCATATTTTGAACTGTAACTGGTGTAAAATGTGTACAAGTACTGACATTGTGAGTTTTTTATAAGAAGTATTTCATCTATGTTTTATGTATGTAGTTTATCATGTTCACACTAACTTAGGAAATACAAAGTTCGAAAGGATTTGTACTATACAAGCAAAGAACTCTTTTTAACTTAAGTCGATTCCGGATATTCAACAATAGCTTTGACTGAGTAAAGATGATTGCATTGTACTCTGGTTAAGCAATGAGTAATGTGCTTTATATTTTATTATAAAATGGGGGAGCGTGGTAGTAACTGTTCGATCAATCCACCATACATTCATATTAGCACAACAGACACGACCACAGTGAAAACAATGAATGGCATAAAATAAATTTAGACTGAATTATTTCACAAGCTAACTTTTTTAATAACCATTGCAACTTCCAAACTTGGTTGTTTATTATTGGTCATAGTTTGAACATGTCAAATTATCTGATTAAGGTTCATTTTTTTGGAAATTTTTAGTAAAAGAGAATGACATTTTTAGCGTGTTCATCATCAAGACTATAGAGTTGCTGTTCTTAGTCACACAAGTTGCGCGATTTGCTGGTGGGAATGTGAACCGCGCACACCTCATAGATTGATGTGTTTTTTTTAAATCGAACATAGGGAAATTACATTGCATGCAAACTCCTATGTTTGCATTTAAAAAAAACTCAGTGTATTTGGTTTTGCGCCTGAGCAATGTTAAAAATTTGGTTTAACGCATGTGCAATGCTAACTTTCTTTTTTATGAAGGCATTTAAATGAAATATCATATGTAGACACCGTGAATGAAACAAAAACTACTACCGGTTTCAAAATTACTGTTAACGCATGCTGTATGTTTTATTTATAAAGACATTCAATGAAATTTCTAATGTAAGCAATGCGCAATGCTATTTCCAAAAGCATTTATAAAAAGTTCCATATGTAGACACTTCCAATAAAAGTTAAACTAATGCCCATTTCAAAATTTGTATGTATTTGTATACACTCCACTATTTTTCATTAAACTGTATAGACTTTGACGATAGGCGGCTCTTTTGAAAGAGAATGGGGTAAGGAACTCGTGCCTACCGGTATTTTTTCCTGGTCCTGGCATTAATATTATTAGGAGGAAAATACACTCTCATCATTCATCTTTGCATAATGACTTTTTAATATATATATTTCATCTCACTGTTTTCCTTTTAAGAATTTCGTTTTTAGTTTCTAAAACAATAATATTTTTTTACCGGCTGTCGCTTAGTTTAGTTTTTTATTATTTATTTACACAAGATTTATTTTATAGTACTACAACCATTTATTCATTCCCTTGTGAAGAGCATAAACATATCCAACGCAATATTCCTATATGTATCGATGAGGATAAAGCAATTTTGTAAACAGGAAGGTATGAAAGCTAAGAAAGCTAGTGTAGAAAAAAGAAGCTATCTAAACTATGTAATGGCGGAGATGGAAATTACCTTAGACCAGTTCCGAGCATTCTACCGGCTACTTCGAATTAGGTTTTCCTGCAGTTTTCCTAATTCGTAAGGTAAATACCGGAGTAGTATAGACCAACTTAAGACCTTCTGCAGAGGCACCTCTAAATAGCATTATGCGGGTCACTCTGTAATTGGGCGCATGCCTGTTGAGGGCCCAAAAAAACAAGAGAGGGATAATAATAATAAATGAATATTATTATGTTACTGGTTAATACAAGATTATTAAGTACCTACCATTAATTATCCTGAAATATTCATAAATAATATGCATGCGTTTTCATTTCATTGAAAGTTTCGCCTTCCAACCAAATTCCTAAAAAAGATCACTACTGTAGGTACATCTAAACCTTGTTATTTTTACAATCAGAAGTATGTATTACATATTGATATCCACTTCCTAGCGACATGACCATTCATTCACAGTTTTTATACGATAATGGACAGAAACACCCAGGTTTGGTAGTAAACAATGTAACGTGCGAATGGATTATGTACATATAAATGCGTTCTGAAGCGGACGGAATTTGCTCTCCCTCTCGCACACTTCAGGTCGGTGACAGCGTACATGCTAGACGCGCTCGCCGTATCACCAGTCTATACCACCGTGCCTTCAACCTCAACTTAGATTCTCTGTGACGTTTGTAAACCACAAATTACTGTAAACTGTTAATTTGGCACTACGACTCCTCTTTAAGCAGAAAATGACTAAAGAACTTCATGATATATTTATAAGCAGACACATTAAACCTAACAATGGATTAGTTACATTTTATGTGTAGCACTAAAATTCTAAATGTCAGTATACTTTTACCATTTTACTTACTAGTTACATCCGAAGGATTGTACAGTAGACAAATACTAATTGGTACTGTTACACCCTCTCATTACTTAGTTTTCATTGTTAAGGAAAAAGACGAAACAAGGTGTTGTTTCATATTCATTCCGAAAATGTACATTTTGCAGTATTGTATTATCATTTTTTACAATGAACAATAGCTGCTCGGTTATCTGCGCGGGACATGCATATTTTTAACTTAGCGCGGTTCTGCCAGGTGTCCAAAGTTATAACGTTTATAACCTTTTGGCTTGTTTTAACTTTTTTCTGAACAAATAGCATGTTAGGGATCTATGTAAATCTACAATGAAGTATTGCATTACTGTAGATTTATGTGGCTAGAACGTCCTTATCTCAGCATGCAAATAGAATACTTTTGAAGGATAATCACACTTGGCCTTTGAAGTATTCTCTCCAAATATTATTGTAAGAATATGCAATAATGCAGTTAGTTAACTAAATTCATTGTATACATTATAGGTTTGGTAGTTTAGATCGAAGAAGAAATAAAAGACTTCATAAAAGGACTTCTCCATTAGTTGATCAAAAGTGTGCGACCATTTCGGTGGCAATTCCATACTACGAAACAGCCAGACCTGCACCTTCCAAGCCACAACAGGTACAGTCCTATCAGTAGCTTGCTAAACTTAATAAATTGTGCTTTGCAGATCGCCAATCGCAATAGGCCAGATAGTAGACAGCTTGTACGTACGCAGTCGTTGGGAAGTGTTGGTGCTCAAACTGTCGACAGCGTTTGGCCAAGCGATGACAATTCCTCTTGCGGTAGTGACGCGCACAGTATTAATGAAGTGAATTTGGCAGCCCGAAAGCAAAAGCAGAAAGAATGGTACGTAGGTAAATCATTTTTAATCAGGAAGGTTTACTGATCTTGTAATTAATTAGTTTTGCAAGGAGGGTTATTGGTATGTGACTCATTATTTTTTTATTCTTTTTCTCGCAACGACATTGGACGTCAAGTGATAACTATGTAACTATCAAGATTGTTGGCGATTTGAGAACTATTTAAGCATTCGAAAAATGGTAAGGCATGGTAGAGCAACAGTCTAGCCCAGGGATGGGGAAATAAATATAGAAGAGGGCCACATAAAATAATTACAGCACTTTAGCGGGCCAAAGAGGTTTTATTATAAGTAACAAAAAATCAGTTTGACAAAAATTATTGTTTTGATGTCCTGGGTGTGACATATGAAATTTTCACTGTTCATTAATTATATAGCGTCGAAATTTGGCTCTATTCAGTGGAAGAAATTTGCAAAACACCCTCAAGATGTGCCTCAGTCGTCCTGATCATACATTTGTTTTTGCAAATTTAGATGACTGGTATTAACCGCAGGCTGGATTGAACCATGTTGCGGGCCGCTATTTCCCCATCCCTGGTCTAGCCTCTAGTGTATGACCGAGGACATATCTCTGTGCTACTTTGGGAATAGTGTGAGTACTAGTGGCATTTGACAATGTGAAGTTCTTATAGCACAAACTTGCTTTTCTTGCCACTCGCACAACTCAAAGCTCACAAATAGGTTTACGATCAAGACTTTTGTTTCAGTTGATACTTTGATGTGGTCCAAATAATGCTAGAAACCATGTTAAGTGAGGAGTTAGGGGCCTCAGACCCGCTACCTACTTTATTCGTTTGCGTTTGCTTTTTACATACAAGCACATCAGTTGTATGCATCTTTCAAGCTGGACCTACCCGAAACCTTCAAATTTGGGTTTTTGGTCCCGTCAATTAGCCAAGACGTCCCTGTCATCTGCACAGTAGTAATTAGCGAGGTCCTATTGGAATCTTCTTTTTTTTTTACTTCAAAACTGTTTAAATTCCTTGATATTGGATAAATTATGGAAAATTGATTTTTGTAGTAATGCAGAGTCAATGAAGAACAATTTTGGTCCGTTCATGGTCACCTAGATTAAAAAGGAAAATTAATTAATCTTTGTTTGTCGTCAATCAGGGTTTAGAAGAAAATATCGCACACAAACAGCACTCCTTAAAGTGCCTAATAACATACACAGGGCAGTGGACAATTCATTATTAACATTCCTTATACTTCTAGACCAGAGTTAGGCATTTGATATTGTTGGTCATAAACTGTATGTGCACAGCTAAACGGGGCTGGGACACTTCGCCGAATGCGCACAACTCCGGCACGATTTTTTGATGGTCCATATCGCCGACTAGGGACACTACGCCGACCATGTCCACATCGTCGACAAGTGTGCAAGGGACACAACGCCGACCATGCCCACTTCGCCGGCAGACACTACGACCGACCATGCCACATCGTCGACACATATAACACTTCTTAATGAAGCTGGACGGAGTGCAACACTAAGTAGCTTTTGACGCGAGGTTATTGTATACTTAGAATATATTTTTTTAAACTTTTTTTGAACTAAAAACTCATACAAAAATTCTTAATGAAACCCGACGTAGTGTGAAACCAAGCAGCTTTGGATAGTAGGTTATTTGTAGGTTTAGGACATTTTTTTTTAATGCAAACTCATACAAAAGTTCTTAATAAACCTGGATAGAGTGTGAGGGGCCTGGTTTTTCGAATAGTCGGCGTTGTGGTCACATATGGCTTAGGGCTCCTTGCACGCGGGTCGGCGGTGTGGGCACGGTCGGCGAAGTGTCGTAGACCCATCTAAACTACATGGGTTTGGTCATGAATGCACTTGCCTTGAAAATCGATCTGAATGCGTTTGTATAAATAACTCATCATGGTCAAAGTTATACAATATTAATAAGAGAGTATCTCAGGGTAGTCTATTAAGACCTGTCCTATTTTCGATTTATATCCGAAACTGCCATACTGTCTGAAATACTGAAAAATCTATATGTATGCAGATGACATACAATTGTGTGCATCTTGTGATGTTAATAATGTATCATCCATGACAGTGGCTCTGTGTATAAATACCAGAAGAAATTGCTTTGACCCAAAAGTTTTCATGCTGTGTAATAATGGGACAGATATCGAATGGGTTACTTATGCTAAAAATGTAGTAGTCATTATTGACAACAACTTTTGTACAACATCTAAATGTATGGCATCAGTAGGCTGCAAAGATTACAAAATGCATGCCTCCATTATGCAGTAAACATACCATTCTGTATATGGAAAGAAACCAAATTCTAAAAATTGAGAAGAAATTGAACTATCTGCTCGCTGTGTTTCTCTATAAATTAATGAAGCATAGTACACCTGATTACCTCGTAGAGTATTTTATAAGACGATCCGAGGAACATGCCGTTAATCTACGAATGTATACATTTACAATCCCAAAGTACAACACGAGCAAATGTAGGGGCAGTTGTATGTAATGCAGTCTCAATATTAAGCATAAAAATTTAATTTTTAATAGTGAGTGATTATCTTTATTATTATTATTATCTTTATTTTTTTATATAATCCTGAATATTGTTAAGTATGTAGTAATTATTACTAGCCATAACTTACGATCACCTTTTATATCGGTCTTTGTTTATCAAAAATTGTATGTAAATTTATATCCGAAATGGTTAATTTGGTAGGGTAGAGCCCTGTACAATTTGTGAGATTTCTTCACAATAAACGCTATTATTATTATTATGATTATACAAAGTGTTGTATTGAAACTAAGAGTCATATTCTTATAGGTTTGAAACGTCGTTAGATGGTCCTGCGCCTTCAATTCCAACTCGATCTCATTCAGTAATGTCTTCTGCGGGCCAGTCTTCTATAGCCTCTATATCACCTGAAGAGCAATATATGGAAATGAACGCGCACAAATCGCCATTAGAAATACCAGCCGAATCAAATCCTCAACCTTCTCTGACAGTTCACGAGCCGAATATGGAGTTGTTTAACAATAACATCCCTAAACATGGAACGCTTATACAAGCCGGGCAGTGTAAGCCATATCACGAGGAAACAAAACCTTTTGAAATGTCAGATTTTTACAAGTATTCTACGAAATTCAAGAAATCACCAATTAAGCAGGAGTGTAATGAGAATAGTCAAAGTTCACATGAATCACCTTCACTGGCACAAAGTAACTTAAACCCATCCTTTGGAGAAGAAAGTCCTTCCGTTGTCCAAAAAGTGATTTATCAACCACTGCAACCCATGAAATGTCAACCATTCAGCCCAGATATGTAAATGGTAGCCATTACATTGCATTCTATTGAATTTGTACATTTCAGCACCTTTGATGAAACTATGGATAATATCGGAAGTCCAACTTCCTTAAATTCAACTCTAAACTTCAGTCAACTAACTTCGAATGTTGCCGAAAATTTTTCCGCTGAAATGAATGCCTGGTACCAAAACCAGGAACAAGTGGACAATAACAATACGGGACGACATGCTGCTAATAATCGATCTACCGCTACTCTTGTTTAATGTTACTAAAATTATTGGCTGACTGAGTGCTTTATAAACATTTTTGTACAAATGAAAATGTTATTTTTATACAGTTTATCACAACAAATTGCATCATTTATATATACATATATTTTATAAGAGACTTTTACATTTGTTGGGCAACATTTTCTGGTACTCTGCAAGTATCTAAAATGAATCGCCACATAGACATGTTAAACACATGGAAATATTCCACTTTGAAGTCTCTGTAATTAGTGACTTTAATACTAAAAGAATGGTGGTACATTTCTTGGGTGTTAGTTTGTACATTTTGACAAATGATCTCTTTTATGATTCACTATTTATGGATGGACTCCGTTTTAAAGAAAAATGTTTAATAGCCATTTTACAGATTTCACTGTAACATTTTTCTTATGTAAATCTGTGATACACATCACAATTAGATATAAATGTTTCGTACAGTATTTATAAATTTCTGTTACCTCGTTGTAACTTTAAAAGTTTTTGACTAATGTGTATGCTGCTCATATTAATTAATTACTAATGTTTAGTTATTTGTGAATCAAATTTTTTACTTATCAATTTGAAAAGTTGGTTCTTGTTTGTATGCAAAGTTGTGACCAGTGATTGTTTATATTTATACCAAAGTGCTGTTCCAGTGAGACAAAATTGATTATATATGATAATGAATAACAGAAAAAAATTTGGTTGTAAACTCTGACGTTATTTATAAATGTTAGTAGTCTTAAGTATAAATTTTAAATCTTTGTGAAATTCTTTGATGCATTTCTGTGAGAATTGTTTTGAGTAAATGTTTACTAAAAGCAATTGCAGTATTAGAAGCTAAACGTGATGTTTATATAGACATGTATTTGTACTTCAGAGTTTTTACTAGCAATAAATGTTTTATATTTGAACAAATCCCAGATCTAGTGTTGGTGTACAGTAGGTACGTACATCATGAAAGGTTTTGAAATAAATAATAAAACAAGATGTTGTCTTCCCCAAACAATTCATATTTCTGCTGCAGTAGTTACCGATGTTGCAGAATAAGTTGTTAAAGAGGCTGACATATGTTTCGGTCTGGTTAAGGACAGGCCATTTTCAAAGCAAACACTACAAGAATCATACAATTATAGGGTTGTCTATATTAGTAATTATTACTTATGTATTAAAGGAATCGATGTTCGTTACAACACTGGTTAAACAAACTGGAAAAACATAGATTGGTCAATTACACAACACATATAATTGCAGACAATATCCAGATTAAGCCAATCTATGGACGATTAAGGCCGTGTCACATAATCGCTAGAGTCTAAAAAATCTACACGAAATGTTGCCATCAACAACAAAATAACACCATAAACTAGGTCCTAGCAAAATCTGTTCCGGTACTGGGGATTATAGGCCAATCGTTACTTTAGGCTTACAAGAAAGTGGGCAATACGAAATATTTAGTAGTTTGCAAATATAGTGTAGGAGTACAGTCTGTTTTAAAATTGTGAAGGTTGCGTGTTATCTAAAGTATGGACATACGATTCGAGTAAGTAAAATCTACACCACATTTATAAAGTTTTTAAATGTTTTTCTTTACATAGACTTAGTAGATAGTCAAATAAAGCTGTAGGTACATATTAAAATGTATTTTTAAAACAAATGTTTACTATGTTAGTCCTAATTCTAGTGTTTGGGGGGGGGCAAGATGTATTTAAATAAAATGACAAAACTGAATTGACAGATATTTGAGTAAAGGTTTCCTTAGCAACGCAGTTCGTATTGTCGCGAGAAGTACAACAGCCTATCTGCAGTTTAAAACTTCAAATTTCTATAAATCTATACGACTGACTTCAATATATCGTTATTTGCAATTTACATCTGGACTTATGGATATTTTTTGTCAAAATAAATGTAGGTACTTAGCATTCAACAATTGTGGTAAAAAAACTGTTTATCTCTGCCAGTGGGAAATTCCTTTCTTCTGTGGTTCTTGATGCATTTTGTTCCAAAATCAATACAGATAAATATCCCTATGAAGCTTCGTCACTAAGTACGCAAATTAACTGTGATAAATATTTAATGAAATTCATATAAATATTTCGATGGCGGCGGTGCATAAGAACATATAGGTACTTATTCGAACATTTATTGTAAATTGTTATATTAGGAGACCGTTTTTAGTAATTTGGTATTTCTTTATGTTGAATTCGCTGTTCTAAATATTTTTGATAGAATTTGATTTGTTTTATAGCAGACATTCCATGGCATGACGGATATTGGCGTAGTTTTTGTATTATAAAATTCCATGGCATCACAGATTGTTGAAAAAGATTGGGGTTTTATTTTTCCAATTTTCGGTCTTTATTATGCAAAAAATTGAAAACTAATACGGTTGATTGACGTAAAAAATTTTCTTCTGCAAAAAACCTTAATACATTGTTGCTCTAAAATAATTTGGGGAGCCAATAATTGTATGTGATGAGTTTTACATTGAAATCCCTATGATGCGTTACGCAAGTCACCACCCTGCATAGATAGGTACACGCTAATTTTATTAGCTAATATAAGATGAAAAATTACGTATACAACAAGCAAGTAATATAATATTTCCGTTTCCGAAATGCGCACTTTCGGAATGCTGGCTTTCGTCATTGAATAACGAATGTTTTCCTCAACGCTATTTCCTATAGTAAATCGGATTCTGTTTATAATATCCTCTAGTTTCCGATATTCCACAAATCCAAACAATTATAACGATAACATCGGAAAATTGTACACGTAGTAGAGTATTCAATAATGTAATTTCTACTCAAGTGACGAGGGAAAACCACAAAAATACATACATATGATCTGGTCGTATGGAGTACAGGGATTTACGAAAATAAAGTAAAATGTGTCTAACTCAATTTTCATTGCGGTATAAAGTAGACTACGAACAGATTATTGGTTTCGAAAGAATTAACAAAACCTTTTTCTACATGACAAATTCGACGTCGATCTTTTTCAAAAAAACGTCAATTTGATATATTACGCAATTATAGAAAAAAGTGGGAAAAATGACCTAAAATTCGAATCACCTTGTACCTATCAACAATCACAGTAGATTATTTCTGATAAATAGTAAATAAAAAACAAAATGTTAACGGATAAGATATCAGTGTAGGTATAATCACGTATTGACGTGGATTAAACAACATTGTGAAACATTTTGTCTTAATTTTCACGGTACGTATGGTTTGCAAAATGTTAGTTCGTTTGTCCTGTAAAGTAAATAACTGTTCCCATGTTCAAAGACGAATTCATCTGTAGCCCTTTTAGGTTAGCCGCGCAAAATTTGATTCAAGGACGGTTACTTGATTGTAATTAATAAAGTACTGCTCTACATATTTTCGGGGCCGACAAAAATAAGTGAACAGTTAGGGGTGAATGGTTTTTTATTTTAAGTTTAAAAAGTTTAAGACCTCGTGTTGGATGAGTAATTTTGGCGTAAATACGCGTGCGCAGTAAGAATATTGTGGCGCTAGTTGTGTTCCGTTTGATCACGTGATACTCGCATACCATAAAATAACGCGCACCTCCTCGGATCTTCTTCCTTTCTGACTGATTTTTCGTGGAGTACGGTTGCCACGTAGTGTTAATTACCATTTTTAGTGTTTGCATTTTGGTGCAGTTATTTTTTAATTAGAACATTTATTCATTTCAAAACGTGAGTACTCATCTTTTCTTCTTGATATGGAACGCCTGGCTTTTGCGTAAATTTTGTTACTTCAATTTTACGGCTCGCCGAACGGTTCACCACGTGTCTTGCAATTCTTTATCGGCCGCCATATGTTGAATCCACATTTAATTAATTTCTTCGCTTTTATCTTCGACGTTTTAAATTATTTCTTCATTTTACTAAGACATTTAAAATTTTTTTTCAGATAAAACATGGGCAAGGAAAAGATCCATATCAATATTGTCGTTATTGGGCACGTAGATTCTGGTAAATCTACTACCACTGGTCATTTAATTTACAAATGCGGTGGCATCGATAAACGTACCATTGAGAAGTTCGAGAAAGAAGCTCAAGAAATGGGAAAAGGCTCGTTCAAATACGCATGGGTTCTCGATAAACTAAAGGCCGAACGTGAACGTGGTATCACCATCGATATCGCTTTGTGGAAATTCGAAACTTCAAAATACTACGTGACAATCATCGACGCTCCCGGGCACAGAGATTTCATCAAAAACATGATCACTGGAACCTCTCAAGCCGATTGTGCCGTCCTTGTCGTTGCTGCGGGTACTGGTGAATTTGAAGCTGGTATCTCTAAGAACGGACAAACCCGTGAACATGCTTTGCTCGCTTTCACCTTAGGTGTGAAGCAATTGATTGTCGGCGTTAACAAAATGGACTCCACTGAACCACCATACAGCGAAGCCCGTTTTGAGGAAATCAAAAAGGAAGTATCCTCCTACATTAAGAAAATTGGTTACAATCCAGCCGCCGTCGCGTTCGTTCCAATTTCTGGTTGGCACGGAGACAACATGTTGGAACAATCTGACAAAATGCCATGGTTCAAGGGGTGGAGCATTGAACGCAAAGAAGGCAAGGCTGACGGTAAATGCTTGATTGATGCTTTGGATGCCATTCTCCCACCTTCCCGCCCGACCGAAAAACCCCTTCGTCTTCCACTACAAGATGTCTACAAAATTGGTGGTATTGGAACAGTACCCGTTGGTCGTGTTGAAACTGGAGTCTTAAAACCTGGCATGGTCGTCGTATTTGCCCCGGCTAATCTGACCACTGAAGTAAAATCCGTTGAAATGCATCACGAAGCTCTACCTGAAGCCGTACCCGGCGATAATGTTGGTTTCAACGTCAAGAACGTGTCTGTCAAAGAACTTCGTCGTGGTTACGTAGCTGGTGATTCAAAAAATAACCCCCCCAAGGGTGCTTCAGATTTCATGGCTCAAGTCATCGTATTAAACCATCCCGGTCAAATCTCCAACGGATATACTCCAGTCCTCGATTGCCACACCGCGCATATTGCCTGCAAATTTGCCGAGATTAAAGAAAAGGTGGATCGTCGTTCCGGCAAGACTACTGAAGAGAATCCTAAGGCTATCAAGTCGGGTGATGCCGCCATCGTCAATTTAGTACCGAGCAAACCTATGTGTGTTGAATCCTTCCAGGAGTTCCCTCCGCTTGGTCGTTTTGCCGTACGTGATATGAGGCAAACTGTCGCCGTCGGTGTCATCAAGAGTGTCAGCCACAAGGATCTTACCGCTGGCAAAGTTACGAAAGCCGCAGAAAAGGCGCAAAAAAAGAAATAACCAAACATCGCCATCTTATAAACTTATGTTTCAGTTATTTTTACATATATTATATTTTCATTTTTACATACTGAACACTTATTTTTGACCGTACAACACTTTCATACAATTTTCAAAATTGTGGAATAAAAGTTTATTTCTTAGTTTTTCTTTTTTATTTTTCCCCAGATTCTTCAAGTGGGTAATTTTTATGAAATTATGTTCATTTTTGGGAGAGCTGTTATGGGTGTTTGTACAGATTGTGACCTCTTGCGAGTGATTGAACCAATAACTTGTAAGGGTGGTTGCATACTCGTGTGAATGTGGTAGGCAACACACTATACAATCTCAAATTGCACCATTGAATAAAAACACTAAGAAACCTAGCCCCGTGGAAATAAAGCGCGACAGAGATTGAACTGAGAATATAATGGAAACACTGTCAATAGTGTCGATTCTTGAACTGAGAAGAATGAGAATTTGCTTTCCTCCTATTTACCGCAAAGAGAGTTCGGTGATCACAACCAATGCGGGTGCAAGGGGATTTGTCGCGCTTTCTTCCATAAGCGTTAGGCTTCTTATAGTGCTTTTATTCAATGATTGCACCTAATTTGGGCTGCAAATGCTACTTCTGTTTCACCCATTTGAATTTCACTGTTTGCGATGATCACCTACTCTTCAAACCATCTAGGCTTGCTTCACATAGCATAAGTACTCTTTACATTACATACTGTAATATCTCCAAAACCAAAGAGTTGCCAAAACAACCACAGAAATGCATTGTACTGAAGAAACAAATACAAGTAACGCAACATACACCGCAGTGACAGGTTCACTCACTACAAAGTTACACATCCTAAAACAAGTAAAAAAACGTCCCTCCAGTCAGAAACACAACACAGACATATGTTATATTAGTTACTTGGTGTTTACCTGCGAGCAGTGGTGCACAATTCACAAAAAAATTTATGTTTATGGTTGTATCATTACTGAGCATTTCACAAGAAAAAGAACTTGCCATGTTTTAACTGAAGAAATTATGTAAAATCTTTAATCGTACCATAAATAAAACCTTTTATATGAAGCGTACGTAGAAGAAAATCCAATTACCTCTGTTCGTAATTTAGCTAGAGAACATAACTGTCAGGCATATCGATGGATATTTTAGAATTGAATGTAAGGGCATTGTATAATATATACAATTATATGTGTCTTATATATGGGGTGTCAATTTTAAAACTTACTTTCCAAACTAAAGAAGATATTGAAAATTGCACAAAACCGTTTCGGGGGTATCGAGCCCCCCTCTTCAAATATCCTAAATGGCAACCCCATATATACTTGTGACACTACTGAAAAATGCTTTCCAGTGGTACCATAATAAAGTCAATATTCATTAAGACAATTTAATAATTAACAAAACAAAATTAAATGTTGACATTGAGGGATTTATGGCAAATTGGCCAAGAACTTCAACCTGAGCTGCTTCATTAAGCAATCTTGGTTGCTTTCTTTTTTATTGATAACAGATCCCGTTTCTTCGAATTTAGCGACCAAATCTTGAACATAGGCTAGGTTTAATTTTTATTTTTTTTGTTAATTATTAAATTTTTGTTAAATTGTCTTAATGAATATTGATTTTATTGGTACCACTGGAAAGCATTTTTCAGTAGCTTTCCAACGATGTGTTACAAGTATGGGGTTGCCATTTAAGATTTTTGAAGAGGGGAGGCTGGGGGGTTGTCTATGGGAATCTATATTAGCTAGTTTACTTATATGAAAGGTAAATGAACTGCGTTTCCAGGTTTGATAAAATGACCGTGAATTGTTGTAGTACTGTATTAAAGCACCCCAATTATGAACATCTTCGAATGAGATGAATGTGAAATAAAAACACGGGACAAGCTAAAGTCATTCTGCAGTCCTCCCTATAATGTGAATTGTGAAGCACGTCGTCGTGGGCTTGAAAAGATCCTGTTTGTTGCAACTGCAGACCAAAAGACAAAATATACTTACTTTCAAAATGATTGAAGTGTGCCAATTTTATGGCGTGAAATATTACAGATAGTAGTACTAAAGCCTGAGAATCTTAAAAGTATATAAAAATTTCGCAAAAAAAATGGTTTGTCAAATCCAAACGATTCACAAAATTCTGTTTGGCAGGGTTCATACTGAGGCTATATAGGTATAATATATTGTTGTTAAGAAAAAAAATTTTTTGTTTACAAACGTCAATTTTGGAAAAGATAAAAAACAAGGGACAAATACATTTAATGACTAATTTACATTGAAATTGGATGAAGACCATTGACAATTCAGAAATTCGTTAATGTCGTAAAAACTTTATTTTTTAAAAAATGTTTTAATTTTATTTTCGAAAATTTTGGATTGTAGCCTTACTACGTCGCTAGGTAATTTGTTTAAAAAGCGAGGACTGTAATAATTGGCCCCATATCTACTGCATTGCAATCTCATATATTGATGCCTCACTATAGTTCACCACCCCTGGTACTGTAATTGTGGATTTGATTTTGTATAGCAATGTGACTGTTGCTTAGCATGCAATAAACAAGCAAATATGTACAAACATGGTAACGTGAGTATACCCAAAGAGCTGAATTTACTCCTGATGCTCTATAAGGAGTACCTGTAATAGCGCGAAGAACCCAGCGTTGAAGGCCCAAAAATCGTTTCGAATGATGAGAGTGTCCCCAACAAAAAATTGCATAGTTAATGTGAGAATGTATTAGATGTAGTAAACTAAAACCAGCGTTTTCACGCTTACCTGTCCATACAGCCTCCGCATAACGTATATGTTACGGCTAATCTTAGAGGAAACGTAATCAACATGAAAGGACCAGTTTAATTTGGGACTTGACGTATCCCATGTTTTCTGTATAAAGCCGGTTGGACAAATAAATATTATTATTATTATGGTCGGTGTATCTTGTGAGAACTCAGGTCTAGCCTGGTTAACTAATCGCACGGATTAAAATCAAGTAACGATTGGTGTCCTTGTCTGTGTCTGGTGAAGTTATGTAAAAAAAAAATAAAATAAATAAATAAATAAAATAAAAATTCACCCACTCACATTGGGAATCTAGAGATAGTATGTAATTCATACTTACCAACATAGCTATTGATGGGCACAATATGCCAACGCTATCAGGACAAAACAAAACAAAAAAAAATCATTATAATAATTCCTGTAATTTTATTAAATGGAGTTTATTGTGTAAGTGTTTCTTTGGCTTTGCGTTTGGGTTGAATACGAGTGGGTTGTGATAACGTGGTGTGTTTCTGTGAAGAAGGAGTTTTGTGTTTTTTAACTGTGCTAGGGCGTGTAACTTTATTGGGTGGATTGGGTGGACCTGTCTTTGTAGTGCATGTTGCGTTACTTGTATTTATCGTGGTTCTTTGTTTTTGAGGTTGTATTTGTGAGGTTGCTTGGGTATTATTATTATTATTATTATTATCTAAATAAACACCCAGGAATTTCACCAATTCAACACCGTTTGTATTTTCTATCTCATGCGAAATAATTAAAGTTTGAGTTTTTTGCATATTCATATATACTTAACTCCTTTGCATGGAACCAATCTACAATTTTTCTAGTCCATTTTTCTGCGACCATGGATGCCTCCCCCACATCCTTACGGTGCTCTGAAACAGTAGTGTCATCGGCAAACAATGTGAGATGAGCATCAGGAACTGCGTGACTTATATCATTTACAAAAACTAAGAATAATACCGGTCCCAAAATGGACCCTTGTGGTACCCCTCTATTTACACTTCTAAAATTAGATGTACAACCATCAACGTAAGTGCACTGCTTTCTGTCAGATAAATATGATCGAATAAGCTCAACACTAATGGCATCAAATGCGTAATGTGCAACGCAGTCAATGCCTTTTGCAATTCACCAGAATATATAGTAGGCGATATGCTGCGCTGATTTATTACTAAGCAGGTACATATGTACATACAGCAGGCGATATTGCGCGGCGGCGACTATCAAACTTTATTTATCGCCTCCCTTTGAATTTCAAGAATTTGCTCATGCGTATCGCGTACCACGTCTCGCCTGCGATATATCGTATATCGCCTCAACATGAACCCCACCTTTCAGGTTCAAGTGTATGATCAACATCAACAAAGTCCCACCCAATTGAAATGTTGAACAGTCACTACTTAGGCTAGCAGCACAATGGAAATGCTCTAGAAACCACCTGCATTGTAATACCTTTGGGTGGTTTAAACTACCATATGCTTCCTAAAAAAAATGACAACTGTACATTCCGGAATGAAGCAGTGATCAATGTTCTGAAGGAACATTACTGTGACCGGTTTTTATTAGAAAAACATTTTGCAGCTCGAACCTAATATAAAATTTTAATAACAAAAGTTTCAATTTATCTGTTTTTAAAACATCTACTTTTTGATATTAGATACAGAACAATTGTTTTATCAACTTGTAGATGTATAGGCAACGGTATAGGCATACCTATTGTTTGGTAGTATAAGCTGTTTTGTTTTCTCAAGGTTTCAATATAATTTGAATATTTAAAACGACTATTTTGTTTTAACGCGCTGACAAAATTCATTTCACATAAAAAATTAATTTGTGATCAAAATTTGACTAAGAATGTGAGATGAAACCAGCTGTAACGTCGCCTACTACTACAACCATCAGAGGCGTTCTTAAAAACCGTTTGTGTTTGGCATTTTTTGAATTTTGCTAATTTTTGGAGACAGACAAACGCACCATAAAGGTGTAAACAAAAATAACGATTTTGGTGATGTAAATTAGTTCTGAAAATGAGCGCGGAGGTGGAGCCATCTATTAATATCTAAATAAAAAGTAAACTCGCTTTTGTAGTTGCGCAACGGCAGTGTCTCTGACTTCTCTCGATAATGTCGAATATGTGATAAATGAATATGCCTAAAATGCGTAAAAAAATGTTAATTGTGTTCGTAAAGGAGCCGTTCGGACGTATAATTCTCTAAAATTTGTAGAAAGTGTCGTTTTGCAGCCATTATGATCGTGAAACCTGTGAACTTGTAGTTGTCTACGTATTCAGAGTTCCGAGTATTGGACTTCTCAAGAATAGTGCATCATATATTCCAAAAGTGTAGAGGTACCAAATGTTTTATCTTAAAAATGATATTATTAAACGAGTTGTCATCTTGGCAATTAGAATGTACAAGCATTTCACTGATTGAGAAATTTAAGATCATCAGAGTGCTTGAAACATTGTTTACAAATGCAGGTTCATAAACAATCATGATATGACTTTTGGACACTGATATGCCTGGCAATTTTTAAAATACATACCAACGTCCTCCCGTTTTTCGTTTGGGAAGCCCATTCATTGGTTACTAGTGGTTATCAATAGATTTTTAAAATTTTATCTGCTTACTAGTAGGGAAAGTCTAAATTCATCCAGTTAGGATTATCGGAGGTATTATCCTACAATTGCTAAAGAATGATCATATATAGGTACTTTTTCGTTTCGATGTTTTTAAAGAAGAGTCAAGATTATTTATACCTACTTAACAGGCTTGTTTCTATGGTTACATTGATTTTGAATTGCATTTTAAATGCATATCAAATTAAACAGGTAGAGGTGAAATTTGTAACACCCTGTAAGGTCAAGCCTACTGTTCTCAGAAACATCTTGTACATAGGCATTACAATAAACTGACTCTCGGTAAACAGTTGTAATTATTTTAATACTTGGCAATTGTGTTACCCTAAACTAGTCAAAACGTAAACTGATTTGGGAATAGATATTAAGGTAGCGGCGATAGTACCTCAATCTAAGTGCAAAAATATGCCTGTGAGTGCCTACATAAAAGTTTTTTTCATTTTTCGTAAAAACTATGCCGCAGTAAGTATGTAAAATTATGCAAATTATATTCTAATAGGGATATTCAATTTATTACCTTCACAATTAAACCAACCAGAAAGTTTTAGTCTCGGTTTCAGTGCGTTTCCCTGCATGAATTGTCCTTTCGATGTAAATTCCAGTAAGAAATGTGATAAGCGAGGTGATGAGTTCTTTATAAATATAATACTTGTGGTATTAAAATATTGCTCTGTATATGCAAAACCTTTTACCTAATAGTTTTGTATTGTATTGTAATTGTATTTACCTACTATATGTTAAGATTCGTGCCAATGAACTTTGTGTAAGGTCCGATATACATAGTTATAATACACGAAATTGTAGTAATCTTGATCTAAAGCATTACAGAGTAGAAAAAACTCACAGAAGTTTTGTAAATATTTTGTTTGAACTTTTTAACCTGCTACCTGGCCAGACCAGGGATTTACCGTACAATACCCTGAAAACTAAATTTAAAAAATTCCTTACTGAAGGCGTACTTTATACTATTGATGAATTTAAAGACTGTGATTTATGTGTAATTTAACATGAATGTATAAATGTTGTGTTGTTTCCTTTGACTTCTGTAAATGTTTTATTGGCATGTTAACAGTAATAAATATTATTATTATTATTTTAATATTGCGCCACGTGGACGTGTTTCTGGCTGGCAATCGATTGTTTCATGGGTAAACAATTTTAGGGAAACTGGTGATGTGAAGAAAAAAAAATTAAAATGAGTACGGAATGCACGTTGCGTGGCTATGACTGAGCGACCGTTAGAAAAGTATGCCTCGACGGCGAACACGCGTTCCGCCTTCGTCCACTACATGATGGTGACTACACCACGCGGCGGAAAAACTTTATATGCCCTTCTCTCAAATATACCTATTCCCAATTTCGTCGGAGCATCCGTCGCCTAAGGGCGCAGAATACAAATCAGCAAGTTCCTCTGCCCCACCCTGTATATTATGCAATAACCTTGCACAAATTAAAAGAAATATATTTTCTCAAATATTAAGTACAACCAGTGTAGGTAGTAAAAAACGTACAAACCATATTATTTAACTTTTAAAATATTCGTTATGTAACACTACTCTATGGAACGCCGTTTTACTTTTTAATGGCAACCGTATTTAAGAATTTAGAAGAATGAATTATGAACAAATAAAAATATCTTAGAGATATTTTTAATTAATTACAAGTATCTTAGATATTTTTAATTGCACTTTTTGCTTCAAGGTTATTTAAATTATCTCTGAGATATTTTTAATTCGTGTATACATAAACGGGAAAAAATATAATTTCGGTTTTATCGATATCTTAGAGATATTTTTAAATAATTAAAAATATCTCATAGATATTTTTAATTCAAATAAAGAAGAAACCTCATTAACTTATTTAAAAATATCTCTAAGATATCTTTAAATTGTGTATTTATCAATATCTTAGATATTCAAATATATATAGACTCAATTAAAAATATCTTAGATATTTTAAATTAAAGTTTATTTAAAAATATCTAAGATATTGTAAATTACCGCCATCTAGCAGCAACGTTTACGAAATAGTTATAAAATAAGTTTGACAACCTCGCAAATTTCTTGTATTGGGTACGTCGATCAGCTGATGTGTGTTATTGTTTGTTTTGGTGGAAATTGTGCCAATTCTGTTATTTTTATTATTGGTTTATAGAAACTTATGACTTTTTGTGCGTGTTATTTTTGCTTCAGTGTTGTACTCAGTATTTCTCATTTTCTGTACATTTTTACAGGATCGCGTTAACGGTGCAAGAACATTTAAGAACGTTTTAGTGTAATTTAATTGTAAATACCTAGTGATTAAACATTTTTTGAGAATCGTTTTGGTATATATTAGATTAGATACTAGCAATGGCAAGTTGTGCTATAAATGGTTGTAAAAACAACAGAAAATTTCCTGTGATCAATAAAAAATTTACATTCCATAGGTTAGTTAAATTCAGCACTGATACATTATAAATCAAAATTTATATTCTTTTAGTTTCCTTAAATAAAGGTGAAATGCGAAAAGTGTGGTTAACACTGCATGATAATCTGCACCAACTAATACTTCTTGTGGAAGCTCTAATAAAGCATTAATTGATGAATTTAATGCATTAAATGTAGTATCACAAATGTTACTACGGATCCTTCTGAGGTTTCCTAATGCAAAGTGCAAATGTGAATGTGGGAATTGTTTTGTAGTTTCATATAATCTACAAGCACTTGCTATTGTTCTTCTGAGACGACTCAAAACATCCCCTACATCCATATTTAAGTTTTAAGTAAAACCTAAAACGAGCCGTTGATCACACGCAGAAACGATAACAAACATATACCTATAGATATATGACCACCAATCAATACACGTAAATTAATAATCAGAAATGAAAACTTCACAGAGGTTAGAAAACAAACTAATTACAATGTTGCCAGATGTCTTAATATAATTAAAACCGAACTTCTCACTAGGTGGCGCCAATTTCCTATATCTTAGATATTTGAAATAACATTTATAAATATCTAAGATATTTTCAAATGAGGTGTATTTTAAAATATCTAAGATATTATAAATAAAAATTAGGCATTTTAATATGAAAAGTCGTTTTACTTTTGAATGATAATCGAGTTTAAGAATTTAGAAGAATAAATTTTAAACAAATAAAAATATCTTAGAGATATTTTTAAATAATTACAAATATCTTAGATATTTTTAATTGCAGTTTTTTCATCTAGGTTATTTAAAATATCTCTGAGATATTTTAAATTCGTGTATACATAAACGAGAAAAAAAAATAATTTCGTTTTTATCGATATCTGAGAGATATTTTTAAATAATTAAAAATATTTTTAAATAATTAAAAATAATTAAAAATATCTCATAGATATTTTAAATTCATATAAAGAATAAACCTCACTTTATTGATATCCTCAAAGCTTAACTTATTTTAAAATATCTCTAAGATATTTTTAAATCGTGCATTTATCAATATCTTAGATATTGGAAAATATATTAATTCAATTAAAAATATCTTATATATTTTTCAATGTAGCGTATTTATTGTAATCGTGTTACACAGTATTGAATTGACACAATTAAAAATATCTCTAAGATATTATTGATCATTTACTAATATCTAAAATTTGACAACAAAATGATTTAAAAATATCTTAGATATTTTTAAATAAGTTAATACGGTTTCTTCCTAATTTGAATTTAAAATATCTATGAGATATTTTTAATTATTTAAAAATATCTCTAAGATATCGATAAAACCGAAATTATATTTTTTCTCGTTTATGTATACCCGAATTAAAAATATCTCAGAGATAATTTAAATAACCTAGAAGCAAAAAGTGCAATTAAAAATATCTAAGATATTTGTAATTAATTAAAAATATCTCTAAGATATTTTTATTTGTTCATAATTCATTCTTCTAAATTCTTAAATACGGTTGCCATTAAAAAGTAAAACGGCGTTCCATACTACTCTGGTATTGGTATTGGCTGTTGGGTAATAATTTATTATTTATTAATATTGTAACGGAAATGCTCCAGAATTCTCTGGAATTTTCTACGCGCGCGATAGTGGAAGTTGTAGGAACATTCGAGAATGTACTGGACTTACATTGCTTGCGTGTATAAATGGTTGCGGACCGAACATCGAGTTAGTCTACTATCGAACGAGTACGGACGAAACATCGAGCACGGAAATATAAATTGCGAAGTGTGTGTGATATAATAATCGATATAAATTGTACGGTTTTTATAGTGTTGTAGTTTTGATTAATAAATATTGATATAAATCGAACCCGAATTTATATAAATAACGTTACATTGGTGTCAGGTGTGGAATTAATTAAATTAATTAAAAGTAAGATTAAATTAAGTGCTTGTGCTTGTGTATGCCTGTAACAAGATCTGCTGCCGCTAAAATGGAAGAAACGATGCTCAATTTGCTCCAGCAAATCCAAAATGGCCAACAGGTGTTGCAACAAGAAATGAAAAGCAACCAAGAGAAGTTGGAAGAAAATTCTAGAAATTTTGAAGAAAATTCTAGAGTTCGAGAAAATGGAAGAAAATTCTAGAAAGATTAATGAAGAAAATTCTAGAAATATTCAAGAGAAGTTGGAAGAAAATTCTAGAAATTTTGAAGAGAAGTTCAAGAAAATGGAAGAACATTCTAGAAAGATTAATGAAGAAAATTCTAGAAATATTCAGGAGAAGTT